GGTCCACTGTATTCCGATAATAATGCAGCCCCAGTCAAAACTCAAAACTGGGAGGTAGGCCCTTACTGTTTCCCAGGAAATCGAACATTTCTGCCACTTTGAGGACTATTGCAGATCACTTCTGGCCTTAAACTGACTAATATCTTCTCCATATCATTAGTCTCTCTTCTGGTCTATTGGCACAAAGATATGGCCTTTTTTTTTTTTTTTTTTTTTAAACCGACCATCTCCCACTGATGTAGGGTATCCTAAAAAGAAACACTTTCACCATCATTCATTATCAGTCTTGCGAGAGGCATGTTGATACTACAGTTCAGATGCCATTCCAAACAACAGTTATCCCCACCTCCTTCAGAGTGTAGGCAATGTACTTCCCACCTTCAGAACACAAGTCTGGCTGGCTAACTGGTCTCCCTGAATTACACCTGCTTACACTCCAACAGCTCAAGTTCCAAAAAGTGTTTACCTCCAGTCCTATCTAACATGCTCACATGCACCTGCTGGTTGTCCAATCCCCTCACACACACAACCTCATTTATTCTCCTCTAACCTTTCCTAGGGAGACTCCTACCCTGCCTTTCCTCCACTACAGATACAGTGGAACCTTGTTTTTTGGCTGCTGTGTTTATTGGCTGATTCGTATTTAGACCAGTTTTTCGGCAAAATTTTGCTCCGCATTTCGGCCATTGCCTCGTATATCGGCCGTATTAGACTCGTCATCCCAGGACGCCACGTGTAGGTGAGTCAGTCTCCCTTTGTCTGTCGGCGAGTGAGAATGTACTCCATGCATTCATCCAAACATTTCCTTAAAATCCATTCTTTTTGGTGTTTTTTTTTTTTATTAAGTGTGACTGTGAAATAAGCCACCATGGGCAGGGAGTGTAGCAGGGAGGGAGGGAGCGGAGCAGGCAGGCAAGCAGGGAGTGTAGCAGGCAAGCAGGGAGTGTAGCATGGAGGGAGGAAGTGTAGCAGGCAGGCAGGGAGTGTAGCACACATGCAGGGAGGGAAATAACCCCAGAGAGGGCTTTGACACCTGAAGTCCTTATGGAGGGGGATTCCCTTTCTAAACAATCAGTCCTCCCTCTCTCCATAAGTCATAAGCCAACAAGAGTCCTCAATGAAGGTATGTAATAGTGATTTAAATGTTTATTTATTTATTTGGTTCTCATTGTTTTGTGTATGTGAAACTATAATTAATCTTTAAAAAATATTTTTGGGTGCCTGGAATGGATTAATTGTATTTACATTAATTCTTATGGGAAGTATTGCTTCGAATTTAGGCCGAACTTCTGGAATGGATTACGGCCAAAAAAACGAGGTTCTACTGTATATACACCCTCCAAGTCATCTTAGTTTGCTTCATTTCCTCAAAATGTCCAAACCACCTCAACAATCCCTCTGCAGTCCTGTGGATAATACTTTTAGTAACTCCACACCACCTAATCTCCAAGCTGTGAATTCTCTGCATAATATTTACACCACACATTTCCCTCATACACTTCCTCCAGCCATCTCCTCGCTGCAACATTCACAACCCATGCTTCACACCCATATAAGTGTTGGTACGACTACACTTATACATTCCCCTCTTTGCTTCCATGGATAACTTTTTTGTGTCCACAGATGTCTCATTGTGCCACCTACCCTTTTTTTTTCCTTCATCAGTTCTATGGCTCACCTCATCTTTCATATACCCAGCCACCAGTAAGTCTATTCCCAAATATCTGAATGCTTTCATTTCCTCCATAATCCTTCCTTCCAATCTGTTATCCAATCTTTCATTTCCTAACTACTTTGTTACTCTCATCATCTTGCTCTTTCCTATGTTCGCTTGTAATTTCCTTCCTTTATATAGCCTCCCAAATTCGTCCACTGACCTTTGCAAATTCTCTTCAGAATTTCCCAAAAGCACAGTGTCATAAGCAAAAATTAACTGTGGCTACTCCCATTTTGTATTAGATTCTGCATGTTTTAATTGCACACCTCTCCCCAACACCCAAGTATTCACTTCTTTTACATCCCCATCTATAAACAACCATGATAACATCACACATCCCTGTCTAAGGTCTACTTTTACTGGAAAATAATCTCCCTCTTACATATCCTAACCTGAGCCTAACTATCCTAGCAGCTCTTGACAGCATGTAGTAACTTACCACATCTGCCACATTGCTCTCCTATCCACCCTATCATACTTTTTTTCTTTTTCAACGAATCTGCTGTATCCCACCAAGGTAGAGTGACCCAATTTTTTTTTTTTTTTTTTTTAAATTTAGTAATTTATATAGAAGGGGTTACTAGCCCCTTGCTCCCAGCATTTTAGTCACCTCTTACAACATGCATGGCTTACGGAGGAAGAATTCTCTTCCACTTCCTCATGGAGCCTATCATATATGACTTCTAAATCCATGGAAGTGACAAAAACTTCTTTACCTTCATCCAAATATTGTTCAAGTATGTGCTTCAAGGTAAACACTTGGTCTACACATCCACTACCCTTTCTAAAGCATCCTTGTTCATTTGCGATCCTGCTTTCCATCTTACACTCAACATTCTTATTCCCCTATAATTTTTTTTTCTCTCCCTTTCCTTTATACAAAGAAATTATACATGCTTTCTACCAGTTCTTTGGTACCTTCCCCTCTTTCATACATTTGTTGAATAAAAGCGCCAAACACTCCAGAATTATACAGTGGACCCCCGCCTTACGATATTAATCCGTTCCTGAGAGCTCATCGTAAGCCAAAATTATCATTAGCTGAATTAATTTTCCCCATGAGAAATAATGGAAATCAAAGTAATCTGTTCCTGACACCCCAAAGTATGAAAAAAAAAAATTTTTTACCACATGAAATATTAATTTTAATACACACAAACTGAAGAAGACATGCACAATTACTACTCTACTAAGAATAGAATACATGACACTTACCTTTATTGAAGATCTGGTGATGATTGATGGGATGGGAGGAGGGGAGTGTGTGGAAGTTGTTTAAAAGGAGAATCCCCTTCCATTAGGACTTGAGGTAGAAAGTCCTTTTCTGGGGTTACTTCCCTTCATCTTTTAATGCCACTAGGACCAGCTTGAGTCACTGGACCTCTGTTGCACAAAAAATCTGTCCATAGAGCTCTGTACCTCCCGTTCCTTTAAGACTTTCCTAAAATGGGCCATGACATTGTCATTGTACAGGTTGCCAACACGGCTTGCAGTAGCTGTGTCAGAGTGATTTTCATCTATAAATTTTTGCAGTTCAACCCACTTTGCACACATTTCCTTAATCTCTTTTATCAATTCCATACTAATTCTCGCCCTTTTTTACCACAGGGATGGCACTAGAAGCTTTCTTGGGGTCCATGGTGACTTATTTTGCAGTTACAAGCACTAAAAACACTGGGATAATGTGAAATGTACCGTATGTATGCGTAGATGCGACCGCACTGGCTGGCTTGTAAACACTGGCGCTGAGGCCACATGTGGGACGCGTCCCGGACGAATCATGTAAGGCGAGTTTTTTATCGTGAGGCGAGGCAAAATTTTTGCGTTCAAATGCTTCGTATGGTGGATTTAACGTAACGCGATGCGTTCGTAAGGCTGGGGTCCACTGTACCACAAAAGCCACCAAGTCATTATTTTAACCCTTTCACTGTCCAAACCTTCAAAATTAATATTGCTCTGTGTCCACATTTAAAAAAAAAAAAATTAATGAGATGGAAGTGAATTTTTTTTTTCTGGAGGTAATGACACCAAAAGTACAAAATTGATGGAAAACTAATGGAATTTTGCAGGTGCAAATTTAGTGGTTTGGGTGCAGTTTACACCAGTGATTTCACCCACTTAGTCCTATTTTAAGACAGTTCTGTTGCTACATTCGGCCAAATTCTTAACTATTTTGCTAGTATACCTTCAGTTCTATTAATTGAGCACAAGAAATCGCCCATTCAACTGTTAGAACTACCCTATAAGGTGCACAAGTCCATAACCTGATCGATTTTACACAGAATTAAAAAAATTAGTTTAAAAAGTCTTAAAAATAAATAACAGACATTCCAAGCACTAATATAATTCCTGTTCAGTAATAACCACCTACTACACTTACCTTTCATTTTTAATTCATAATCAAACAAAAAATTGAAGACTTACTCTTTCTTGAAAAATAAAATATAACCAGGAATGATTGGTCATGGTTTACAGCATCCCAATAATTGAATTACTTCTATTAAAAACCCATTTAACAAACAGGGGTTTAGAGGGGCCTTGCCTGTCCTTAGGAAAATTGTCAAAAATTGAATATTTCTGCTACTTTGAGCCCAATATAGAGCAACTTTCAGGTCTGAAACTGACCAAAATTTCAGTAGTAGATCTTCCATTAAATTATACCAAGCAATCACCAATAAAACCATAAAAACCAGCCTAGAAAACACCTTGAACTTGTTATTTTAAATGAGGCACACATGGTTGCTTTTCTTATGCACTGCATAGGATAGGATTTTTTTTATCCAGTGCACACTCGCTGCATAGACTCATTCTCATTTCTAGGCCAAAATATACTGCTCAGCTTATCTGAGGGAGCTTTGCTCGAAACGTAGATCAACGTGAGAGACTCTGACCTCAGTAATGTAGATCTGCATGACGGCCACTCGAAGGATTAACCCAAACTCACAGTTAGTTGCTCCCATCATTCACTGCCTGGAGCAGGATTTTATTTTTATACTACTCACGCCAATTGCACAAACCCATTCTTCACGTCTAGGCCACTGAGCTTGATGCTTGGTCTGATAGTATTTTCATGTCCAGGCCAAAATTTGCCACTCGCTACAAATTTGAGGGCGCTATAAATTATGCATACTAGTGTCATGGATGCTGATTACTAGACAACTGACAGCTTAAGGGTTAAAATACTGAATATCACTCAAATTATGTAGATTGCTTTTTATTAGTTTTGTATTTATTTTGCACTTTTCTTTAAATCATCAATTGGTTAAAGCAACTTCTTCAACAGATTCTGGTAGGACGAGAGATCCCCACTTGGGTGAATAGACTGGCATATGTCTCATCATGTGTCCCATTTCTACAACGGTGTCTCCCTAAGGAGTGGTTAACTCCAGTAGCACTCCAGCAATCTATTGAAAGACCCTCCCCAGACTCTCCAACATCTCCGGACCCTCCCTTTTCCAATTCGCCAAGTTCTGCTACCCGGGACAGGATTCCCCACTCTGTTGCAACTCCAAGGAATCACCGATCCACATCTCATTCTCGTAACTCTTTGTAACCTGTCATGTGTGCTATGTTTATGGTGACTGTTCATAGTTTTACTCATGTTTTTGACAGAATGTAGAGTGAAAGTTATTTGACAAAATGTATAAAGTGGATGGAAGTTTGATGAGTGTTTTATAAGGTTATTTTAGATATGTTATTATCTGTGTTTTAAGGCTACATATAGTTTTGATAATAAAAAGAAGTTAAATTTACAGTTATAGTGCATGACTGGCTGCAGTTACAATGCTGATGGCCTGCCATTGGTAACTGCAACAATGGCCATAGACTACAATGTAAAATTAAGGATGTGAGACTGTTGAGTCCTAGTTCTTCTTATGAGCTATATAGAAACTTAAGATTAGTGCCATAAAATAGTTAGAGAGAAGAGTCATGATACATAATACTTAGGCCATCCACACACATGTTGCAGTGAGAATATCATTTACACCTCACTGAAAAGTATTATAATATTTGGGTTGAAATTCAAGTACTGTACTATACGTGTTTAAAGATACTGCTACCAAATGATCTTACATGTAGCATATATGCTTTAAAAGCATAATCTCAGTCCAAATTTTGTTATTTTCTCAGTGGATTTAGTATCCAGAGCAGTACCTTGTAAGAAATATTGTCCTGTTGATTCACAAACAGGTTGCATCCTTGTGGTCTGTATTAGAAATGTATGCATTTGTTAAATATGAAATGGCACTGTTAATTGTTGCAAATGACATGAATTGATATTTGCATAGAACCATTAAGCAAATTTTTATTTTGGTTATTGAAAGTTGTTGCATAGGTGACATTGCAGAATCACCATATTGTAAAAGATATTTCCTGAGATAGAACAAAATAGTGTGGTCCCCCAGGTTTTTAGAAAAAATTATTTAGCACCCATTCCTACTGTCAAATTCAGCCACCCCTGCAAAATTAGAAAAAACAAAAATAAAAAAGTAGTACATATTTAAAGGAAATGCACATTAAGCAGTAAGTCTTGTAAATAGGTTTGAATTAAGATCCAGAATTTTTACGTGAATTTTGATAGACGATACATTTCTGTCATAAGGCATGCAAACGATATGAAATTTGTACTAGTGGATAAATGATAAAAATTATAACAATTATGTCTCTACTCTTCGGTTTTCATCGTTGTATTTAGTAATTTCGATAAAATATAATATATTTTATCTATCTATCTATCTCAAAAAGCTGGGAATGAAAGATAAATATATTTATAAAGCTGTGCTTTATATATTAAGTGATATCGAGACATTTTTTAATATTTTAAAACTATGTAACTCAATATATTGGGTTCATAGTGTGCCCTTTGGGTTATCCCTCAGTGAGGGTAGTTTGTTGTGTCTTAAAGACATTTAATGAATGTGCTTAATTTCTTGGGGGATGACATTGTTATGTTATGATCCCTGGATTTCACTCTCAGGTCTCACTGCCAACAGATAAAAAAAAGAAATACAGAAGGGTTGAGTTAAGCAGCCATTCACAGATTCACAAATCTGAAAATGGGCCTCAGCATATCTGGAGTTTGGCTCTCCCTTGTGTGTGTGTGTGTGTGTGTTTGTGTGTGTGTGTGTGACACCACATGTTCACATGCTATGACAGAAATCCTTTCTTACTCTGCACAGTACAAATAAACATTTAAAAATGTGCTAAATATTTAGGTACTAAAATACCTTTGGAAAACAAAAGTGACATTCCAATTCTATATTTTCATTATTCTAGATCCAATAGAGTATGCTTAGAACTTTCTCAATTTATTGTGCAGTGTCCTTTGGAAGTGCTGCAGCTAGACAGTACAACACCAGCAGGAAGAAAAAGGATAGGGTACTTGTATTATTTTTGAAATGCAGTACATTAGAAGTTTTTGCCAGAAGTGTCAAAGTACTGTATTTCTTAAACGTACATTGCTATTTTATTCTCATTTTGCATATATCAAAAATTGTCTTAAAAATCTATCATGTCACATTTTCTAGACTAAACCAACAGTCTGTGCAGCTTTTTTTTCTTCTCTTGCCAGAAGTTAGGGCATTGTAATTTTAAGTTTGGCAGTTATTACTCAGTGTACTTGTTTTAATAGTACTTTATCTTTACCCAGCATACAAAGTATTCAATCCTGCATAACCTGACGTGGCCCATTGGAACCTTATTTTGGGCATATTACTCGCGATAAAGTGTATAAAATTTATTTGACGTCCATTACCCTATAGTGACTGGAAGGCAGGGTGATACACTTACAAAGTTTTTAGCTGAAGTTAGAATTCTCGGGTACAGACTTGGTGTATGTAAGGTACAGTACGTAAAATTTAGTGAATTTTTGTTTTTGTTTACTACTAATAGTTAACAGTATTCTTTTACAAGTAAAATACAGTATTTAACAATTATATTTTTAATTTGCATATTCTATAGCTAAACAGAAAATATGAGCTTTTATTGCAGGTCATGAATTCCATTGTCGGTGATACCTGTAATCTTGTGCCAAGTCTGTATACAAAGTTGTTCATAGTTTTCTGTAATAATCATCTTTAATAACCTAAATTCTTGAATCCCATCCAGAAGAATGGAATGTTTGCTTGAATTGCTATGAAATGGTTGGTGATGTAAGAGTTAATATTGTAGGCATTTTTATTGCTATAAATAGTTCCAAAGTTTTATACACCCTTTTTCAAGCTGCCTTAACCAAAAATTAACATAGTATCTGCCTCTTGATATGGCATATCTCCAAGGATACTGTTGACTTTTAATGTTAAGGGGCTTTGGAAAAGTGCTTACATACTTCGTGTGAAAATTTGTGGGTTTGTGAGGGAATAATGTTTAAAATGATTTATAATATTGGATAAGCTAAATCTGGTATAGGACTTTCACAAATCTTCCATTGTGTACATGAGTTAGGTATTGAGCTGAAATATTTTCAGGGAGAAGTTATTATGTTTGGTGTATAGTCCTTGTCTTTTAAGTTCATGGAATAAATATTCTTTTTTTACTAACCCACTTTAATATACATTGTTTTTATTAAAATTACTTTTATACTGTATGCCTTTTATTATTTAGAAATAAGTTTGCCACCTTATAAACTAGGTCAACCATGCATGACTGATTATATTCATGATTTTGCTTGCTACAATTTTGTTTGTAGCTAGTGTAAGTTTGCAAGAGGTTATTGGGCCTGATCAATTAGGCAAGTGTCTGTGACTACTGATGCATTGATTGTAAATGCTTTTTTTTTTTATTTTGATTTGTTTTAGTAGCTTCCTCTGTCTGTAAAAATATTAGTGCTTCTTTCCTTTAAGCATTGGACTTAAAAGTATTTCCACTAGGATTGCCTAAATTTTGTTTTGTGACTTGTATAGTTTTATGGATTAAATTGTTTAAAGATAGTTTCTTTATTCTAAAGAATTGCTTGGTGGCTGTCCCTTTGTACCACTGGGTCTCTTGCTGGCATATATGTGCAAAATTAGCTCTTGGTTCATAAAATTATCCTAATTTAGACAAGTTCTACAAGACTATTTAAAGTAAATTGGACAGTTTTTGACTGAACCACATTTTTCTATCTTGTTTTCTCTCTTAGGAATACTTTCTGTGATACTAACTTCTGTTCTATGATTTATTTGATGAATTGTATTTAATTACTGTACATACTTTTGCTGGTGTCTACCATCAGTGATCATTTAAAAATAGTTAAAATAATGATCGTAAGAGTATATGCATGTTCTTCTTTCTCCTTGTACCATTTATATAATCTAGAGATCACACTTTTTTTTTTTTTTTTGCACAAGCTGTTACGATCCCATATGCAGTGGACCCTTGAATAGAACACAATTAACCAGCACAGTTTTGTCATGACACAGTTGAGAAATTAGAGCATTAAGTTGCATAGCACACTAAAATTTGAACAGCATGGCATAAATTTAGGTAATTATATGGCACTCCTCAGGATCTTTCCCCTCAGCCTCATGGCCAGCCTACTGGAATGGCCATTGTCTTGATGGGAAAGGTCTCATCTCTTTACAACCTTTCATGCAGCCAGTTCTCCATGATTATTTCCCTCATACGTACTCAAGTCGTGTGTTTGAATCATTTTTTTTATCAGTCCATCTTGTCACTGGATAGTAACCATTGCATTCAAGAGGAATAAGAGCGATGCTGAAGGTGCTAAGAAGAAAAGCATGAAAGTGTGAGTACCTTAAAAAATTGAGATGTTAGATAAGTGGTGCATATGTAATGGAGATGGCATGAGCTTATGGACTTGAAGCAATGATTCAAACAGTTAAAAGGAATATGAAGAAGGTAATCCAGATTGTGACCTGAAGATAATGTCACATAGGTTGCAACAGCTAAATAAAACAGAAAAATTACCGAGTGGATTAAGCAGAAAACCAAGAAAGAAGCTCCTCTTAATTTCCTTGTGATCAAGGAGAAAGCCATGTATTACAAAACAGTGATGATGATGAAGTCTGACAAAGTGTGCATGTTAAGGGCTGGCTGGTTCCTCTACTATAAATTATACAATAAGCAGCATATTCAGTAGTGAAAGTGCATTTGTTAAACATGCTGCCTACAGGAAATTCCCTGCATACTAATTGGAGAAAATTCTTTGAGGGTGGCTATGAGCTACAGCAAGTGGCTGATTAAATAGGTGTTTATTGGATGATGCCATCTATAAACTTGCATCAGCCAGCAAGAGGAAAAATGAGCCTGTTATTGAGAAAGACTTTCAAGATTGATTCTTTCCTTATCCTAAGGTCAATGTCAACCATGTATCCACTCCAAGACACAGGCCTCTACATGCCATTCCCTTTGGTTAGTACACTTTCTTAGCAAGGCTGTACAAAGAACATACAGGTGTACACTGTGTGACACTTGCCAGGATGAGTGTAATCTGACCATAATACACTGATGGTATGAATCTTTCTTGTAGACAATGTATCCACACAGTTAACTGATATGTAAGTCTGTGGAACAACCTGCTGTGTCTGGATAATTGCACAATTCCTAGTGCAATGCCAGGCAGTTAGATACTAGACTTACCTGAATGTACCAAGGTGTACAATGGTCACATGCCTACTCTTCTGAAACTATAGTTACGTTCAGTCCTTTTAAGTATCTACAAGAATAGACTAACACCATACTTTGGGGTTAAGCTCTATGCAGTCCACATTCTTGTGGGAACAAAAGTCCTGTAATTAGTAATCCGTGGGGATTATTGTTCATGTCTGACAACAAGAGAATGCCTATTCCTTCCCAACCTGTAGCTATATTGTGACTGACCCTAAATAGGCCCCTCTGCTGCCAAACTGAGGCTAACAGCTGTAAGAAAATGCATGTTACTTTGGAATACGTTAATACTACATCCATTATCAACTTAATTTGACTAAATCTACAACCTTAGCTAGGAGTTAAACTTAATAGGAGCTTAAAATTAATGCTTGTAAGTAAAAGAATTTGTAACATGGCCTAGGTTGAGGAAATAGAGAGTTGGCCACCCTCTCCTCCTCCCACCCCTTTTTTCCTTTGTAATGGTAATTGGCCTTCCAGTGCCCTCTTGAAATGGAAATTACATGAATTTTCTAAACTCGGATTCAAAGCAGCAAAGGATCATTTTGGCTTTCTTCTGTGTGGTATTGCATCAGTGTGTTTTAAGTGTAACTGTAAACTCATGTTTCTTTATTGCTTTAAGAGGTAGACAAGGTATTTTGCTTATTATTTGGAGGTCTAACCAGTCAGCATGGATGAATGAGGCCTTTCTTGACCGATTCAAGCATACAGTGGAACCTCAAAAATCAAACTTAATCCGTTCCAGGAGCTAGTTCTAAATTCGAAAAGTCTGAAATTCGAAGCAATATTTCCCATAAGAAATAATGGAAATACAATTAATCCGTTCCAGAAACCCAAAAATATTCACACAAAAAATACATATTATAGAGATTAATTGCAGTTTTACATACAACAAATACTATAGTTTTTAATTATGTATAGTAATACATATAAAATAACATTTTTACTTTTATTGGAGATTGGTGATGGCATCTGGAAGATAGGGAGGAGAGAGAGGGAATTGGGGTTAGTGTTTGGAAGGAGAATCCCCCCCCATGAGGACTTCAGGTAAAGCCTTCTCTGAGGTTACTTCCCTTCTGTCTTTTAATGCCACTAGGGATTCAGGGAAACCGGTTATTTTCATATAGTCGGACTTGAGTCCTGGAAATGGGAAGTACAATGCCTGCACTTTAAAGGAGGGGTTTGGGATATTATCAGTTTGGAGGGATATGTTATGTATCTTTATATGTATATACTTCTAAACTGTTGTATTCTGAGCACCTCTGCAAAAACAGTGATAATGTGTGAGTGTGGTGAAAGTGTTGAATGATGAAAGTATTTTCTTTTTGGGGATTTTCTTTCTTTTTTGGGTCACCCTGCCTCGGTGGGAGACGGCCGACTTGTTGGGGAAAAAAAAAAAAAGAGGGCCAGCTTGAGAGTCACTGGACCCCTGTCTCACAAAATAACTGTCCACAGTTCTGTCACTGAACTTGTTGCAAAGATGGCTTGCTCAGGGTGGTACTTCTGCACAAACATTTGGACATCATTCCACTTGGCACGAATCTCCTTAATCTTTGAAGAAGGCACTTCATCCACTCCCTATATTAACACCTTTTGCAACATCAGCTTCCTTTATTTGTTCTTTCTTTGACAGGATAGAACCGATAGTCGACTTGTTTTTCCCATACATCCTGGCAAGCTCAACAAGTTTCACACCACTCTCATACTTCTGTATTATTTCCTTCTTCACATCTATGGTGTTTCTCACTTTCTTTACCACAGGGGTACCACTAGCAAGTTTCTTTGGGCCCATGGCAGCTTATTTCACAGTCCCACAAGCACTAAACACAACGAAATAATCGTAAAATGCGTGAATGAGAGCGCAGGTTAGTGTTCACTCAAGCATAAACAAAGCTAGACTGCTCACAGCGCCTGCGCGGGGATGCGGACAGAGCGGGCAGCAGACAGGTCCCGTACCCGGCGGTCCGAAAATAGGGCCGCATTCGATAATAGGGACACAATTTGTCTGAAAAAATGGTCCTATTTTCGAAACGTTCGATATGCGATACGTTCGATTTTTGAGGTTCCACTGTAATTCTATTCTTAAAGTTACAGTTTACCTGCACAGCAAGAATGTTGCATTCAGGATTCTTCTCAGTCTTCATAATTCCCATACTCATCCTCAACTTTTAAAGGATGTATATCTACATGTGAAAGTTATTTTTAATATAAATTGGTATCAAATTAGGAAGAAATGGTCAATTTTGGATAATTTTCCTTGAGGAGGGAGGGTCCTCATACCAACTTGTCTTATGGGTTTTCTTCTAGGTCATCTTTAATTATTGGGATGGCCTAAATGATGACCAAAGCATTCTTGGCTTGTTTGCTGGGAAATAGGGATAAACTTTGATTTTCAATGTTTAACAATAGATAATAACTGGAAAACAAAGGGCATAGATGAAGGAATACATAACTACATAAGTAAATTTGCTGATGACACTAAAATAGGCCATCAGATTAATTTTGATAAGGACACTAGAGCACTACAAGATCTGGATAGGTTGATGCAGTGGTTGGTGAAGTGGCAATTGTAAGGTTCTAAGCCTGAGAAAAGAGAACCATGGCATTTATGAACTGAATAATGTGGATCTCAGTCATTCCGAAGGCAAAAAAACATGAATTCTGTTTAGCAGTAATCAAAAGCTAAGACAACAGTGCATAAGTGTGCACAATATACCTAACAGAACTCTTGGTTTCATATCAAGTATAAATAATAGGAGCCCTCAGGTTATACTTCAGGCCTATCTAGCATGAGCCAGTAGGCCTGCTGTAGTACTCCTCCTTTCTTATGTTCTTATGAGAGACCTGGGGATGTGATCAGTGAATAGAGGGAAGGTTACTTTAGTGGCTAGCATGCCTACAGGTTTTGTTTTAAGTCATCCCCTCAAGGGAAATGCTTTGATGCCAGTGAGGGGTTCTTGATCCAAGGAACTAGA